TACTGTCCTGATGTAAAGCATTACCAGTAAAGTGGTCTGTCCATGCTACAACACCTTTAAATTGTATATATAATTTTATAAATGATATAAAATCTGTTTCTAGTCCATGAAAAAACACACTAGCATCGCACACTGCAATCTTGAAAGGATTTAAAATATGTGATTTCTGCCGGTACCTACTGTATTGGGTTTTATATAAAGCTTTTTTCAATAAGGTAAATTGTTACATGACAAACTCATCTTCCACCATTATCATCTGCTGTTTGTGTTTAACAACAGGAGTCCTGGTCTAACAAAACTGTTGTAATGGCTGTACAAATTACTCAGCTGAAAGCTTTTCACCAAACCAAACAGTATTAATCAGCAGTTCTTATGAAGGTGCTAATTAAAAACAATTTTCTTCCTCAGTTTGCAATACTAAGCCATCTTCATTTGCACAGTTTCCAATATACAGCTACTGTATACACTCACACTTCAGGGCTTCTATTAACTATTGAATCTCCTATTACCTATTTTATTACATTCCTGTCTCCCAAGTTTAGAAGCTTGTTGACATTTTAGAAGTCACAGCATGATATGTTTAATCATTTTAAAAGTACATTAATTGAAGTCAGAGTCGGGGAAAAAATAACAGGTCTTTTAGCACGCAGGCTCTGGCAGGGCACAACACAGGCTGAACGTTCAAATCCCTTTCTGCTACCATAACCCATCACCCAGGGGCAACGTTTCACGGCTGAAGGGGGAAGGTGCCTAATGCAGACAGCCATTATTTTTTTTGCCTGTTTTTAATAAGCAATCTCCTACGAGTGACGCTGTGTTGGTTATCTGCAGGGAAACACATCCAAAATAAAAGATACTTTCTGTTGCTGACGGCCTATCGCTCCTGCGCTGTCGTCAGCCACGACAGCTCTTTGTTTTTGGGGGCTTGGCATCTGTTGAGTTTAACCCAGATTCGAGGGTCAAGATGTTTCTTCTCAGGCTGTGGAATGCCATCTGGACTACTGCTCTGTGCATCTTCCCTCTACTCGCCACACAATTTACACACAAGAAGACAATGAAGATCCAATGCCGCTGTTGGACAGAGATGGAAAATATCCAGCTTCTACCCAGCCACAACAATATGCTGGGCTTTTTTGGCAGCAAGCCAGCTGCTGACTAAGCAAGGAGCCTTAACAGGCCAAACCCTTTAAAAATGGGAAAGAAAAGTTAGGTTTGTTACATTCAGCGTGTCCACAGGTGGGAGAAGGAGACAGATCTCACCGAGGAGATGCTGCACGGAGTCTCACAAAATCTGGGGTCAGATCCAGAGCGTATCGGCGGCTTTCTAAGTGGCTATAGGCAAATGACACAGCGATGCTGTCTGTGCCTCAGGTTCCCTCGTATGGGCAATGGGTGTGATTTAGCGGGGTCCCCCCCTTTACTTCAACATTCAACTGCAAATTCACTAAGTCATGTATTGGCTTTCTTTTAGCTTGATGGGGTTTCGCATCAGGGTGCCCTCATTTTGGCTGGGGTAAGTAAAGGCTGTTGCAGTTGCAGATGAGAATAATATTGAAAATCAGCTTCTAAAACCATCTTTCAAAAGCTGCTGGTGTACTTTACAACCAACGTTAGGCTACGGATTCGTGACAGCGAAGGCATGACAAACCATCTTAACCAGACTCAGGAGAATCTAAAAAGTGAATAAAAAGACGGAAAGCAACAAAATTGTCTCTTTCTGAGGAAACAACATGGGATGACAATACTGCACGGAAAACATTTTAGATATAACTGTCAGTGCACACCATCTTAGCGCCTTCCACCAGCATCTCAAAACATTTCATGAGAGTTAAAGGAATACGCAGTTTGACATCACTGTTCATTCCTTGATTTAAAGAAGAAAACCACGCATAAAGAAATCCAGGCAAAACTATGCATTTGTAATTTGCCCTGTGAAAAGACAGGGAGCTGGTCACTTCCCCTCTTGCATTAGGGAGAGCGGGTGAAAGACATTAATAAAAGGCAGCTCTGTTTGACTTGCAATGTGTTGCTGCCTTTTCCCTCTTCCCCTACCATATCAGCTGTGTCACCTGCCATATCAAGAGGTGGATCAAAAGCTCCACCCACTGCATCCTCTTTTGTTCAGGGAATGGTGAAGGAGAGTTGTAATGGAGATATAACACTTGATAAACCGTATGCAGCCGGGCTCCAGATGTAAGGATGCTTTTCACGGGGGGAAAGCGATTTTAACCCCGCTTCCTTCCTCACACAAACATGTAGCCACGAAGCCACAGGCAAAATGTGAACAACTTGTCTAATAAGGATTTTGCAGCTGGACTGGGACCTGGGGTAGTAAGTTCTCCTGCCTCATCTCATATTCTTAAGACATTTTTCATTTCAAATCCAACTTACTTCCCAAACGGAAAGATTTGTCCCATTGTTCCACAATGTTATCGGAGAGGACTAGTTTGTAATTTTTAAGAAAGCCTTTGCCAGATCTCACAGCAGGAAAGCGAATTCTTTTTTTTTCTCGGTCTTTTATATTCTGAAGATCACAAGTCACTGCCAGTGGCAGCAGCTGCATTAGGGCTGCGCCCAGGGGAATGGATGCCCACACGAAGATCATTTCTCTCTGCCATTCTTCTCTGAGAAAGGAGGAAGACACAACATTGCTCTAAAAACTACCAACCTACGTGAAGGGAATCTTGCATCAGCCTCACATTTCCACTCTCGGTGAAGACAGCATAGCGCTTGCACGGTGTCGTTCATCTTCAAAGTGCTTTGCAAACATAAAGTAATTAAGCTCAATATTCTGTTATGGAAGACAGTAAACTATACAATTAAAAATGCACCGAATATCAGATACTAGTTAAAGCACATCACATGAAAGGCTCTGATACATTTTATAAGCATGATTTGATAAACTGCCTAACTCTTTCTTAGCAAAGATATTTGCTGTATTAATAAACACTATTTTTATTACAATTTAAGAGCTCAGAAACAATTCATGAAGTCCCAACTAACGTGAGGGACTCTGAGAGATGTCTCTAAAAAAGAACACTTTTAGTGCCTCATACACAGTAAATCCTACACCTGTGACTTTTCAATACCCATTTTAAAACAAAAAATCAAGAAGAGAGCTTGCTTATATACCTCTGAAAATATCTACACGGACCAAACCTGCAAGCACTTATGCAGATGAGTAACTTTACTGCCTGTGGAGCTCCAATGTGAGTTTGCAGGATGAAGCCTAAATGCATCTTTGGTAAACAAGCCATCAATTACACACTTTAGGGATGGCAGCACCTGTGCAAAGCCTTCAAGTCAGGCGACAGACACTAAAGAAATAAAAAGCAATTATCAGCTCCTAATTTGAGTAAAACTGTTTTCTTCTTAGAGCTAAAAACACAATTTTCAGTGACACTGGTTCTATTTTTGGCAACTAGCAATCTTTATTAGATTATTGTACAGCAGACATTCGAGCCCTCTTAAAAATAAACGGTTCACAAATTTCAATATTTCACTATTTTTCACACTCCTGTGTTGATTATAAAGATTTCCTTGTACATGTTTTGAGAGAAAACAAAGGCACTGTTGTGTGGGACAAACAAAACAAAACTAATTAAACTAAACCACCTCCACAGCAATTTTCAATTCCTCCTAAATGCTTTTAATTTCTTACTAGACAAGCGTCTTCCAACAAGAGTTTGAATATGAAACTCGTACCAGCTACAGGGGAGACATACTACTCAGTTCTAGGATAAATGGTTGGTTTGCATTGCCCCTGGTCTTTATCTAACACTGAGAATAGGCTGCTTTTTATCAAAAGAGGAATAAATTGCTGTTATTGTGATGTTAGCCCATCACTTGGCATTGCAATTCAAGTTTTTGTGAGGAAGAAATGTATGATCTAACTGCGACTTGACCTATGCCTTCTGAGATCCATCTAGGTGCTCTAATGGAGCATAAAAAGTACTGAATACAAGGACATGCAAACCGGTAGTGAAGAAATTTGTTTGAGAAGAAGACGAAGAGAAAGGGACTTTCGTGGTTTACATGCTGCCCCATTTGTTAAATATGGAAGAACGCTTATTGCCAAACTGCAGTTCTTTTAATTAACGTATTTCAGCATGATCCTCTACACTTCCTTGCACCTAGTACCTCCCTCGCTCATGCTCTCTGCCTCTCTCTCTTTTTTTCATCATTTTGGAAGCAGTTTAAGAGACTGTACAGGATTCTTTAACGATCCATGTTGTTTTTCTGAGAAGTCATTAAAATGGTCTACTAAACCGCTCAGAAAATAAGAAATTGCTCCTGTTTCTGTGTAGGATATTTGTCTTTCCCAGTACAAGAAAAGTCTCACGATACGTTTACCAAATACTTGGGCCACAATATATCACAATATAAACAAATTCAAGGGAGATAGTTTGATTACGCTACAAAACCTTCTAGTTGTTATAGCGTTTCTTGGAATTTATCAGAAAAGGATGTATTTTTTTAAAAGCAATTTCTAGGATAGTGGCATTTAGATTTTAGTCCTGATAAAGGCTCACTTTCCATTCATAGTCAGAACCTAAATGTGCTCTTCTTGTACCTAAACAGATAATAAGCACTCAGCACACTCCCCCTTCTTGACACAACACACTGAGACTAATCACACATAATTGGAGAGGAGGAGCAGAGGGGCTGGGCAGGCTATTGTGTCCAAAGGACAAATGGTCAGTTTATGAGGCTTTTGTCTGATGCATAATTTCTTATACATCTACAGGAGGAAAAGTCCTGCTGGAAAAAACCCCATACGTACATCCATATATAAAAAAAGCCTTCAACACTGAAGTAAATGAGGACATTTCAATCACGAATAGAAAAATCAACAGTGGAATTTAAAAGAAAAAAAAAAAAGAAAAAAGGCAGAGAAATCCAAGCACTCAATAGGTGCACTTTTAAAAGACCTTAAGACAACTA